TCATACAAGTTCAGAAGATCACACGTTTGCACGCATTCCAGACCATTTAACCTGTGCGCATGCGTTAAATTATTAGTTGTTTTAACGCGTGCTAACCTGCGTTAGGGTATCAAAAATATTTCATGGGGCATGATGAAAATCGCAAGTCTCTATCTTTTATTCCTCTTGACTTATTCAAAAAATAACCACCGGTCTTGTATTTTAGCGCCGATAATAGTGCAACGGAATATTCGCGTAGTAGAGATCATCAGTCCTGCTCTCAAAGACTGTTGACAAAACAGAGAAAACCAAACTAACTTTCTTAATCTGAAATATGAAAAGTTTTTTTTACCTAGCTCGGCAAATTCGTTTTCGACAAAGTACTTAGTTTTCAGACAAAAAAACGTTTTTTTTTCTCGAATTTACTTTCGGCTGGCCGACGGACCGTCCAAAACTTTTTGACCGGACCGGTTACATTTCTGAGGCCCACTTTTAGGTGTCTACAATCTGGCTGTACATGTAGCTGTCTGTGAAATCTTCATGTTTTACTGTCGCCTGTATTTTAGGACCACTTTTAATCAAAACAAATGTCGTAATCGAAAGCATCTCATCAATCTGCAAGAAAACAAGTGAAAACAATAAGATTTTAATAAAAAAACCTTGATCAAAATGCTTCTGTTTCCCCACTCCAACGAAAAAATATCAGTTTATATGCTAATGAGGTCGGCACGGTTCTGTTTTGTAGAGAAATGCTGTTAGTAGTTTCGTTTCGAAAGGTGAGGCAAACCAAGGATCTCTAAAAATCTGGAAGAGTTCTAGGAGATTCTGACGAAGAGTTTTTCGCGTTAATCATTAAAACAAAATTTCTAAAATCCAGTCCTGCACTACCAAAACGACAACATTTCTATAGAGAACAAAATCAGCTTTCCAATACCTAAACAGAGAGAGATTTTTGGGAAAGCTAGACCATTTTGACCACTACTGTGGTAACGTCACATTAGGTAAACAACCAAGCAAACAGCCTAGACAACCAAGCTCTTCTTTAAACCTCAGTTTTAGATCGGGAACTTGTGAAGTTGGTGGAGATATATTATCGATCACACTTGATGTCCTAACAATGTTTGTTTGTGAAAGAGCATTCAAAAACCTAGTGCTAAGCGTTCTTAGATGAAATGACCCAGTTTTGACTATTTTCATGGAGAATTAACACATGCATGACTCTGTCAAAATCAATTCAGAATATCAAGATAAACTATTTTATCTGTGAAATACTTTACAATTAACAAAGCCTCTCACAAATGAGTTCTTAAATTTTGAGGAGATTTTCTAAACATCATAAATGAAAAAATGATTTTTATTAGTGTTCAATTCAGAATCAGATAATGAAGATAAAATAGAGTTTATCTATTGTTCTGAAGTGGCCTGGTTTGATTGCGACAGAGGTATTTAAATTTGTTAATTTTTCTTGAAATAGTCAAAACTGGGTCATTTCACCTAATAAAGGTTAGCGCTAGATTTTTAATTTTCATCCGCAAGCAAACATTGCTACGAGATTAAGTGTGGTCAATAGCATATATCTCCACCAAATTTACAGGTTCCCGATCTAAAACTGAGGTTCCAGTAAACGATGCTGGCGTAACTCTTGCACTTATCGTCATACAGTACCAAATAAAATGATACTTTAAATATCATGTGCGTCGTAATTATAACTGAGTATATATGCTTTGCATATGGATGAAGGTCACAATGCAATTTATAGCCATTCAGACTGACCTAATGCCCCTTGCCGAAAAGTTTCTGCGACATCGCAAACAATTTTCATCATTTCCATTTCCGAATCGTTGTGCTCGATCTTGTCATTGTGAGATGTTCCATTTTCAGTATCAACAGTAACTACTTGTTTTGTTAGTTGTTTCGCATAGTTTATTGTCCACCCGGTGGCTGGATCTTGTTGGAAAAGTTTTGTACGGCACACATCAATGGCTCGGTGAGCTAAAACGATTCGATTTAACGCACGTACCAACGGATGTTGAATGGGTTTAAACATATGAGACTCATGATCATGAAGAGTGTTTGCTTGTGGAAGACATTGAGAACACAAATTGTAACTTTTTGTTTGGCATTGTTCACATTGGTAACGAATACCCAATATGTTTGGACTTTGACAACCATCACATGTAACTCCATAATGAATTACTTCATCCGCCGATGTATCTTTTACATTTTCGACAAATGTGTGCACCGACAAATGTTGAACACGCATGAATATGATACATTTTTGACATACACCATAGTTAGAACATTGTATACACGAATAAGATACGTCTTTATGTGGAAAAATGAAATCAAGACAATATCCACAATATGTAATAAATACTTTCAAATAATCAGAATTTTCAAATATCGATGGTGTTTTGGATAACTAAAATGTATAACTCTTTTAAAATTATTTATCTTGTTTTAGTCCTCAATGCATCAGCCTCCTGCTATACATGAACAAATCATTTAGTTTTTCCTCACTCGAAGTAAACGATAGAGCTTGATTAGAATTACAAGAATATTCATTTCTGAACGCTCAGTTCATGTATTTTCTAACACTAATTCAGTTAAAAATGAGAGAAAACCTGTTGAAGTTCCAGTGTTTTGTCTATTGTTCGTGGTTTATGCTTGTTAGTTGAATGGCCCTGCAATTAAAGAAGATAAATTAGAAATGAGACTTGAACCTACTTGACATTTACTTTTTTCGACGTGTCATACGGTTTATTTTGTTTATTGTGCGGTAGATGATTACAATGTTTGCTGACAGACTGACTTGCACATTGAACACATTTATAATGATTTTCTGTGCTATTTTGCAATTTTTCTTCGCTAGATGTAGTCGAAAACATTTTCTATTCTGTTCTCTCAATGAAATATTCGCACAATAACTATGTAACTTTAATTTACGTATGCATATGTACCCCTGCTAAGATAAAATCATTGGAGCGTTGATTACAGCGTGTCAAACAGAAAGTAAATTTATTTGAATATACATGATATTTTTTATCATTTGTATTTTCGAAACACACTATGAGACAATAATTTAGTTGTGCGTTAATACCAAACAACGACACAGTCTCTGATCAATTAAAAACGTTTTATTCTATCATTGGCAATGGCAAATTGCTCCTTTCATCAGTTTCAAATCCAAGCAGAAACATTTTTTAGACGTACCTCAATCTAAATGTTGTAACATAGAAGGCAATAGATTATGGAAAGCTCGAATCTGCAGTCGATTTTGACATTCAAATTGAAGGTCACCATGGGCAACGACCCGAGTAAAAGATATGTAACTTTGCATTTTTTAAATTGACTGAATTAAAAAAATTTGAACATTTTGAGCACGTTTAACATTTAAACAAATCATCACAAAACAATAGATAATATTGTTCTCAGAAAAATATCGATGGGCAATGAACACAAATGAGTATCTAGATTTTAGAAATGGTCATACTGCTAAAACAGTATGACCATTTCTTCAACGACATCAGTTCAGTACAACGACTTATTTTGACTTTTCTTCAACTTCTCAAACGACTCAAACTTTGTCAGAATGTACATCTATATGTTACGGCGTAACAGTAAAACATGAAGACACTCAGAGGCATCCATGATAAAATTACCGAAACAATCAACTTACAGAGAGCATTTACATGATTCATACACAAATAAAGATATTGTCATTTAGTGTGATATCCTGAACTTCTTCGATGTTCTGCCCTAGACAAAAAAAATTTGTGAAATCTTATAAGAATCTGGTAAGGATTCATAAGAAATTGGTAAGAGTCACCAAAACTCGTACGTTATTCTTATAAGATTCTTATATAAGAATCGATGACTAGGGTATCCATTGTCGGCGCTGAAATACAGAATCACACATTCCTCATAGCTAATATATTTTTATTATTCGTGTACATACCGAAAAATTATGTAATGCACAAAAAAATAATTATCAATGTAATAAAAATAACAGAAAGTATGCATGAATAAACAATCTATAGAATAATTGACTAGAAAATGTATAAAGTTTTTTAGACTTTTCTCGTTATCTATCTGGCATCCCTGACTGCTTTCAATGTCTGAAGGTCTTCACTGACTGTCTGTGTCTATACTAGAGATCTGCACGGACATGGGAATTCCCGTGGTCACGGGCGTGCCCATACTGTCCGTGGGCATGAACGGGCACGGGCAGGCTCGAAAAAGACACGGACAGGCACGGGCAAGCATCCGCAGTAGGATTATGGACACGGGCAAAAAAAATTTTGCCCATGCAGATCTCTAGTCTATACAATGCACAGCAAATTCAGCTCTCTGTCCCCTTATCTAAATAGGTCTCATATTCGTTAGTCTATTAGAATGACTTATATAACAGACACTGTTTTTCGTCTCGTTTAGAATGAGGAAAAAGCGTTGGCATTTTAATCATACACGTGACGAGATATTTATACGTTTATATCACGTGGATAGGCACGTAGAGCAATCTATCCTTTTCTAACATTCGTGGACTGGTGAAAAATTGCTGGTTAAAAAAGTGATTTTATTTTCAAATGCACTTTGCGACCAATGAAATGCGACCTTACGCAAGGATGAACATAACTGGAAATAAATATTGTTTTCAGAATGAGAGATCGGTTTCCTAAAAAAACTATAAAATATCTTTCGGATTCTTCCACAAAAAAGAATTAGATGTCGACACAGTGAAATGATAAAATAAGGGGATTGTCAAGGATACCTGTATCTTTTTTTCAACCACTTTCGGATTCTATACCCCGATAGCGGTGTCTTCCATAGTTACAGACAAAATTTAAAGGAATCTTCTCAATATTTTAACCCTAAAAGTTATTTATTATTTACTAATTTTCCCTGGTTGAATCTGCTCGTTTAATGCGTCTTTGTAACTTTGAAAAACTAGTGCACTCGCAGATTATCCATGTTTTATTCTTGAAAATAAAAAAAGATTCATGGTTTCGAGTCCACGGACAAAAACATGCTCCCTATAAACGTATATATATATATATATATATATTAGGTTGGCAACAAAGTTTTTGTATTTTTTCCTAGAGGAGAGTGAGATACATACGTATCTCGATTTCACTTTTCCGTGGTGAAATCTGGAATTTGACCAGGTAAGAGTAGAATTAATGTAACGGGACTAGATTTCAAGTTATAGAAACAAAATAAATACTATACAAGATGAATGAACAGTCACATTGCCTAAAGGTTATTTTTTGCACCTCTTTTTCTTCCCCCCTCCCCCTCCGCAGCAATTCCTCCCGCCTCCCTCCAATATCATACTCCTCGCCCCACAGAAATTTCTGTTGAAGAGTTATCTTTCCCTCGTTTTTACATCGATTAAATAGAGATAATAGCTGTATGGATTACATAAAGTATAGTGTACAAAATAAGAATAACACGCGAAAAGGTAGATTATTTATCGTCATACAAGTCAAAATACCTACAAACAAGAAGAAAAAGAGGTGCAAAAAATAATCTTTAGACAATGTGACTGTTTATTCATCTTTGTATAATATTTATTTTGTTTCTATAACTTGAAATCTAGTCCCGTTACATTAATTCCACTCTTACCTGGTCAAATTCTAGATTTCACCACGGAAAAGTGGAATCGAGATACGTATGCATCTCAGTTTTCTCTAGGAAAAACTCGGATTCCAATTTTTATCTAGCGAAATCTCGAATTTCACCAAATTCCTGTTTTCACTATATATGAGTGAGTTGCATTGGCATTGTACCGTTTCGAAAAAAAACCGAAAAAAAAATTTGTGAATAAAATAATTCTGAGCCATATATTAGATAGTACTACTTTCGAGCTTTATGGAAAACAAAATTCCCAACACTTGGTTGGATATTGACTGAGAAATTTTGATTTTTTCTAAGTGCTATGCAACCTCTGAGTATTGTCAGTAAAAAAAGACTGGACTCGGATGTTTTCTGAATAATATTTGATAGAAAGTAGCTAGAGAGCTTCAAACTTTGCCATGCGAAAAAAGAGACTTGCTAACATGCTTTCACAAGCATGAACTTTTCCGAAAGTGTTTTCTGAAACAGGTTTTCTAGGAGACGTTTGGAAAACCAGGCCATGTGTAAAAATTTTTCAATAGGATTTTATTGATTTTCTTTCATGCTATGATAGTCCAAGGTATCCTCTTCAAAAAGAGAGTCAAGTGAGACCTTGATTTTCTGCGGCTCGGGTGTTGTGTCGGATTTCCTGCGAGTCCCAGGACTGGTACCCGGTGGCTATTGGTAGCCTTGAAAACGGATGGACTATTGGTAATCGATCATGCTGAGCCTTGTGGCAATATTTGTTTTTAGAACAAGTTCGAAAAGTCTACCGAAAAGCGAGTTTTTACGAAACTTTGAGTTTTCAGCCTGTTTTCGCTCATTAAAAAATTCGCTAATCACTCGATAAACATTAGAACGAGTTCAAGACTTCAGAATGTAGAGTATTTAAGCTATTCTATATCTTATTTATAGTAGATGTCAAAAGAAATTTTACAAAACCCTAGGGTTTTCCAAAAGGGTTTACATCCAGTCACATAGATAGTCCTGACTTCGAGGAACCTATTGATGTATTATGAGTGTCAGTTATACTCAGTTTTGATCAAGTTATAGACAGAATAAATATCGCAGGACATTTTTGACGTAAAATGCGCTTTTCTCAGGAACGAAGTGTTTCTGAAAGCTTGTTTTTTTCACATACTAATCGTTCAAGAAGGAAAAAAGGGTAAAATGTTGACCTCAAATGGATCACTCATCATCGAGTTATAGACAAAACAATTTTTTAAATCTCGCAGGACATTTTATCTGAAAACAACTTTGTATAGCCTATTCAAACACGGTTTTTATTGAGATATAAAGATTTGGAAAAAACTCTCTTTTAGCAAAATGTAGAGGTACTCTTGCTGTATTTTTCTGGCTATTTGAAAATTTTTTTAAATCATTTGCGCCGTATGGAGACCGTCTTGAAGTCTCGCAGGACAAAACTTTGAAAAGTGTCTGTAACAGCATTTTTTCCTTGAGCTTTTATGGAAAACTTAATTTGACTTGAAATCAAAGTACGTAATTTGAAAGCCGTATTTTCGGGCTACAAATTCCATTAAAGTATAATTTAGTAATCTTTAAACAGGATGTAGGAAAACTCCCGTTTCTTTCGGGAGGCGGCACCAAAATTACTCTGTTCTGGCTTTGTTTCGTTCATATTTCGACAACCAAATGAGATAAAAACTTTTATTTTTCAGTACTGAATAACCATCTTTAAACAAATAAACCGAAAAAAAAAATATTAAGTTTTGTTCCGCAGAACGACTTTTATAAGCAAAACAATCGGTGAACAGCAACGGTACAATGCCAATGCAACTCATATATATACTGTCGCCACGTGTATGATTGACGATACCAACGTTTTTTTCTCATTTTAAACGAGACCAAAAACAGTGCCTGTTATATAAGGCACTTTATTTCTTAAAGTAGACTATTATATCTGCTTTTTGAATCTTTTCTAAAGTAGAACTAAATCCCCAGGCGAATAAAAAGTATCGAGTATTGGGCAATCACACCTAGATAACCCAATCCAATACCCAATATACCTAGATACAAGTAAAAAGAAAGTATTGAGTATTGGGCAATCCAAGCTAGCTAACCCAATACAGTAGTCGATATACCTAGATAACCCTAT